ATCTTATACGAGTTTTCCTCACATTACACTGGTGGCAGCGTACTTAACGCAAACCCACGCCCTCCCTTGCTTAGCCATTACACCTGGCTCGTCTCCCCCTTCATTTAATTCAGTTTGAGTATTGCTTAACCGTGTGCGGTAAGGAACCCCGAGTAGTACAACGTGTAAAGTGTCCTAGTGCGTCATCTGAACAACTCAAGAATATGTTCCTCATTGTTGTATGTGCGAATTGCTTTTCGCATAACACTCTCCCCAGAATATGTTCAGTGCTTGATATAATTTATGAATGGCCCTAGTACTTAACATTATAATGTTCTCAGTGTCCCGAGTGTACTTTAATTGTCGGTCAGTACTACATGTACTCATTGTGGTTTAGTGATAGAAGCTGTGTTTATACTTACTGTTTTAACCTAACATGTCTTATGACCAACATCCTCCTCCCTGTCCAAATCCCCACTCCACCCGCCTCACCCTTCCATCCCTGCTCCACTCCACTCGGCGCGTCTGCCCACCTGCCGCCCCGCCTCGACCGATACCACCCCACCCCGTGTGACCTCACTAATCCCCAGTCTATTTTGTCTCATAAGCTTGCTTTGAGATCGATGGTTCGTGTAATTTGACATGGTGATACTTACAGAGCTTCTCTCAGTGTATTTTTAGGATAGAATGATTCATAAGGTAATTGTACTCTTTGACACGTATTGACGAATAGTATCAAGCCGTAGTGAGCAGAGCTACTCTCCCCGCAACAGCCTAATGAGAACATTGTCGCGACGAAACCCTTAGTTGCCAAACACTGACGTAATGTATAAAGTGAATATCTTTTTGACGGATGCACTTCCAGCTAATTCTTCATCCCTGTAGGATTGTCTTTCTCTGTCAAATGTCACACACAGTACCGCCCCCACGGCCAACCTCTAGCCAGATGTTGGAGATACCAGCTTACTTGGGCATGACCTGATGTCACATGTCCAAGCTGTATGCAGTGATCGGGCAGGATGACGGCGCCTTATGACAACAGCAGCAATCAAGAGGTGACGATGGACCAAGTATCGACTCCAGCCACAAGGGAGTGGAACAGCACATACGAGCAGAGGTGAAACAGCGTGATGAATGCAGCACTTCACCTTCACCCACCACACACTTCTCCCAAGTCCTCCCTTGGTCTGGGAATAAGGAGATTTTTTATTTTTTACTTGAGACAGTTAAGACGTGTGGAACGAGGCCATGAAGAGGCAGACCCTGCAGCACCACACACACTAAACCCTGGCCGGCTGAACCAGGGAGGGGTTTCTGCTGCGGGTGCGTGGGACAGGGCGGACCGGTGCCTGTGCAGCTCTGGTACCGGGAAGCTGATCCTGCCCCACAAGTCGTCCAGTGATGGTACCCACCCCAGTGTGACCGGCTGCCCCCTGCCGGATTGACGGAATTACTGATGAAGAAGATAAGAAGATATCTGAAAATGATGCTCTACACGTAGAGGAAACTCAAATGGAACAGAAAAAAATCTGGAATGTGTCGGAAAATGATGCTGTACAAAGGAAACTCAGATGAGCTAGAAAAACCCATCTGGAATATGATAGTAACTGATGTAAGAAGAAAGTTCCTTATAAACCAGGAGGAAGTGAGAGAAAGTCAGAAGGTGTGGAGACACGACCTACAAGGGGCGGTACTGAAGAAAGAAAAACATGCAATGTGAAGAGAGAAGACATAAGATGTGCTGTGCTGACATCAGAAGAAGAGTTGATGGATCATCGGAAGGACTAACCTGCCACCGCTGCTGTACTGCCAGTATCACTGATACCAGCCGGTGGAGAATGTGAACCATGCTGGGCTACACTATTATATTGCTGCTGTACAATGTACAGTATATGTATAATGCTTGGGAAAAGAAAGAAAAAACACCCTAACATGTAGTAGGCGCATTTTTTTTTGTATAATAAAGTATTTCATCTGCGACATCTGATAACATTTACTACAGAATATATTTTTTTATTATTTAAGAACAATTGGTCACTCCTTCTATGAGTTCATTTAACCAATGCTTTGTACTACCTAATGGAATGTTGCAGCCATACTGCTGTTTTGCATTTTTTTTCTCAGATGCTATTCTAGATATGTAGGATCTTTAGCTCAGTAACTATTCTAGTTGAGCTCATACTGTAGTCACTCAAGGTGTGTGTTTTTTCTCCTGGCATAGAAGCTTTGATCTTGGCGGGAGGTATGGTGCGTTTTGTCAGACCAAACCAAGCCGGTAGAAAAACATACATTCACAAATTATGAGGGAAGTGCTACCGATAGGTGGCGGTTATTGTTTGTAAAATGTGAGGTTGCATTATCGCCTCAGGGGCTATTCTAGATATTGCATATGATATTACCATGATCACTGTCTATATGTGTCATCAGTTCTCTGGAATGGAAGCTTTGGTCTTGGCGTGAGGTGTAATGATTGTTTATCGGACCTTAGCTTACAACCCAGAGAAGAACAACACACAAGAGTATAACAGTAAGTAGAAGCGCAGGTGTACACCCTCGTAAATTGACCCACCCTTCGTAATTAAAATGAGATTAAGACCTGATCCAGATGAGGTCACGGTCACGATACAGAGTTTTCACCGCCAAGTCCCCAAGCTAGTAGAGTCTCCCACAGAGGACAGAGTCCAGCACCCGCCGGAACCACTCTCTTCAGCAGCACCTGCAGACATTCCCCAACCGCTGGGCCTCTCTCAGGTCACTTATGAGTCATTGCCAGAGCGATCCATAGGGTGAGTTACTTACGGTGGGATATCCATTTCATGTGTCCAGGAGACATTGTCTAGTAACGTAAATATAATGATCTATTTATGTGGCTATGCCATTTATTTAACTAATAAATAGCTGTACTCAGAATTGGTGTTTAGAAAACTTCCCCTAAGAATATATATTAACGGTTAAATAACTAATCGGCCACGCTACAAACTTTCCTCACTTTACAATGCTATAACTAATAACTCTTACTATTATTTCTACATGAGATTTCCCTCATTACATCCGAAATGCTACATGTAACTCGTGATGTCCCGGGAGGGTTGGTATGCGTGGTAACCAAACATCCTATTAATTACGTCGACATAAATACACATTGCATTACTTATGTTAAACTATACAGGGCAGGAACGTGCCTATCCCAATATCTATAATCCGGGATCTCATGATGTTTCACACAGAGTGTGGACAGAGACACTGCACATTAAAATCTCCTAGGTAGAGGATCTCGGTGTTCGGATGTGTGGATAGCAACGACTCATGACAAGAAGTGAGATAGTCAACGAGTCCCATATATTTGGTAGAGTTGGGAGAACAATATAGGGAACAAAGAAAAACAGTATTAGTTAGTAGAGATATTTTGAGCCAGATGACAACATTAAGAAAAGATACTAGATCCGTGAGTCGAGCTATAGGTGTACAAGTGTTGCAGTAGAACGGAAAGGTGTATAAAGACAGTAAAAGGTGCCTTGGTCAGTTGAAGTTCAGATAGTAGTAAGAGATCGGGGAAAGAGGTTAATAGATGGTGTTCTATTGAAGACTTGGATCTCAGGCCGCGAATGTTGGAAAAATTAAGTGTGAAAAAAGTTGATCTTCCAACAACCGCGGTGACGTCAGTTGAGGCCCTAGTAGTTTGATGATGGTCAGGTCGGCCCTGGGGTCGACATCCTTCCCGACCAGTGGAACCCATCAGAGAGGACCCGCTTTATAACTAATCAACTCATACTATAAGTGAATAAAAAATATAAAAAATAAATAAAACAGATTTAGAGAGAATATTTATATTGTTACGACCCTCCTTTCACCGCTTACTCAGATTCTACCACTGGTTACCAGCGGCGAGTGTCGTATATACATAAGCAGTAGATATCTCACAAGTGCCGTCGAATTACCACTGGCTGTCCCGCCAATATCCGGTAATTTCCTGATGATTGGTATCAGTGTACAGAGAAACAACAGGCAGGTAATTTTCAACAGGTCACAGAAACACAATTATGCACTGTACAGTAGTCCTCTTTAATAGTCGCTAATTCTTCACAACACTGTTCACAGGGTAATGGCTTCATAGCTGGACTTCTCACTTCGAATATATAGTCAACACACTACCAGTGTACAATTCCTAAGTCTTTTAACTTTAAATTGATCACAACAATTCCACAATACTTCAGTTGTCTTGCAATTCCTGTTCTTGACACTGAGCAGAAACAACCGACTAACTGAGTTAGCTTCACGTTGTCGATTTTATACCTCATCATCAAACGCCTCTCGAACATCCCAGCACCACCCAGAGACGCCTGGGTGGTTATAAAACGTTCCACTCTGATCGAGGCTTTCAATAATAACTAAATCATAACACAAATGATGCAATGCATTCTATAATATTCTTACATAAGTAAAACATCAATATATACATGAAAATCTTCTTAAACTTGCCAAAATAACTGTTGCTCGAGATAGAAAATAATCAAAACACCTAGTTCACAAACACTACCAAATTATGCCTTGGCATAACAAAACCCCCTCCCTAATCCTTGTGTCGTCCTGACACACTCATTCACTATATACATGATAATCCTGAAAATTGTTAGGTCTCTTCTTCTTTCGCTGCTGCCGCCGACGTACGGGGATATCTTCAGAGTCCTCCCTTGGCGTAACAACCTCAGTCACAACCTCAGATTGGTCCCCCTCTACTGCCATGTTCAATTCCGCTAAGAGGGAACAGTGCTCCTCTTCCTTGTTCATGGTCGGCATCCCCGGATTGGTACGGCATTGAGTTCTTCCAGGATCTCCGGTCTGGTCCTCGTTGGTGGTAGGTGACAGCTCCTCAGAGTCTTCCCAGGTGTACTGCCCTGGCCCATGAAACTGCCACAGACGATTGACGTGGACTAACTTCGGCTGAGCCTTTCTTCTTCCCCTGATCCGGTAGGTCAATCTGAAAGGCGTTCCACTACAGTGTATGGTAATTCCCATGGACT